CCGGAGCTCCGGCGGTGCAGGATACGGACCTTCGTGCCGAGAGCGCGCACTGTGCCGGCAGGGAGCACGGATCAGGGCCGCGCCTGCATCCCCCTCCCCTGCGCGGGGCCTGGCGCTGGGCTGCGAGCTCGGCAGAGTGTAATACAGTACAGTAGGTGACTTGGGTCAAATTTTACTTCAGTCTCTGTCCTTTCAAAGTCTGGCCAAGTAGAGCTGAGAACAGTGAAACAAAGAGCTTAAATGTCTTTCTTAGGAGCTGGTGGAGGGAGAAAAATTGGCCAGAGGAACGCCTGGGGGAAATGTCTTCAGCAGAACAGCCAGTTACCTTTCCCTTCCCCAGAGTCAGGTCCGTCAGTTACCGAGGCTGCCTGATGGTTGAAACAGAACTGCTCCTAGTTGCTGCATGATCTAAGCTCTGTGTGCTTGGGGAAGCTTGAAAAATCTGTCAGCTATGTTCTACTGTGTGAAGAAAGGGCAGTAAGCCATCTTGCCCAAACTGAAGCGCCTGGGCAGTGTTGGCTGCGGAATCCTTAACAGGTGCTCCTCAACCAAACTGTACCACACAGTAGAAGCAACGGTGGAGTGTTACCTGGCTAGAGAGCTTTGCCAACAATTGATTGCCACGACAAAGATGCTGGGTGACCTGAGTCCTGTAATTCCCTAAATGTCACTTGCCTCCTCTGTAACCATCCAGTTTCTTTGAAATGCTAAATTTTATGTTCTCTTAAAGCTCACTGTTTTTACAAGAGATTCTTCTAATCGTCTAATCTTCATTCTGCAAATGTTTACCAAGTCATTGCTATTTTCCTAGCACTATTCTAAGCGCTGGAAGGACAGATAATGAACAAGAGTCCATGTTTCTGTTTTCATGAAACTAGCACTCTAGAGGGAAAAGTCATACAATTAAACAGGAAAACTAAATCAGTAAGTCAGGTGTAAATTGTTAGAAGGAAATGAACAGTGACTAAAAAGATAAATGTATCTCAAATAAACACAGACCGTCCTAAACTAGGCTCCACAGCCATCAGGGATCCCAGACTCCTTTCACATCGCCCACAAGGGCCAAAGGGGAAGAGAAGGACAACCTTCTCTTTAAAAAAACTTCTCATCCCAACACTTGGGAGGCTGAGGCAAGAGGATCATCACGAGTTGAGTCCAGCCTGGGCTACATACTGAGTGCAAGACCACGCTGAACTGCATAAGACCCTGTTTCAAAAAAAAAAAAAAAAATCTCAGAAGATTTATGTAAACCACTTCTTACATCCCTTGGTCAAAGCTTAATAATTGGGCCATACTTTGTTCCAACAGAGGCTGGAAAATATTGTTGTTTTAATTGGTTGGAGAAATGCCCACCTAACATTTGGGATTTTATTACTGAGCAAAATGGAAAGGACAGATATTGGAATAGCTAGCCCATCTTTCACAGTTTAATGTTCGGGGCTACAAACATCTGGGCTCATCATTCTTCCAACAGAAAAACACATTTTCCCTTCCCAAAAGAGATGATCTAAAGTCCTATGTAGTTACCATGTTCTCATCAAAGTCTAGGATCTTCCTTAGGACCAGAATCTGCTTTTATGTTCGGGGTTATCTTCCCCTTCAATGCACCCACTATACATTAGTGGAATAGGAACAAGATAATTACAGTTTATTTGTTTGTTTGTTTTTACTTTCTCCAATTCAGAAAATGAGAAGACCAAAAACACAGCATAAACTTGTCCTGGAAATTAAAGAAATGTCAATGCAGGTTTATCTCACTTAACTTCAATTATTCGTTCTTAAAAACCTGATAGTTAAGCAGGGGCTTTAGCTCAGTGGTGCAGCTCCTGCCTCCCAACCACAAGGTCCTAAGTACAACCCTGGTACAAAAAGAAAAAAAAAAACACAAAACTGATAGTCCACAAGAAAATATTAGCCCCAAAAATTTTAACAGATATTTAAATTATCAAATAAACAAATTGTCACATTGAGATGCACAATACTTAAAAATAGTATTTTAGTCCTATGAGTACACTGTTGAGTCGTACAGCACTTGGCCTCACATGCCTAAGGCTCTGGGTTTGATCCTGAGTACAACATTTAGAAGTAAATAGCCGGGGATTTGGCTCAGCGGTTCTGTGCCTGCCTCATAAGCACAAGGACCAGAGTTTGATCCCTGGTGCCAAAACAAAATAAAAAAGTAAAAGTAAATAAATAAATGGAAAAAAACTTAAAAATAGCATTTTAATCGCCATTTTCTCCAAACAGTTTAATCGCTATCAGTTGCTTCTGAATATAATAGCACATATAGTTTGCATGCCTCATAGTAACAATACTTTTGCTATGAGGAGCAGCAAATGTATGCCAACAGCTAATGAAATTTTAAAATTACAATTTTAAAAAGTTAGTTTCTTTCAGTTAGCTGTCAAACTGAAACTTGAAAAAACAAATTACTGTTGTCACTGGGGATTTAGTTCAGTAGCACTTTGCCGCCTCGCAACACAAGGTCTGAGTTTGATCCCTGGTACAGGAAAAAAACAAAAAAACAAAAAAACAAAAAAAAGCAAAAAAAAAATTATTGTTGTCACTGGTGCCAAAGGTGACAGCACTGACAGGTTGGGCAACAGAAGAGCAATTTCAGGCAAACTCTTGAGATCAAAAGCATGGATCAAAAGAAACAGTACTTTATCTTTTCTAACACTGCTATAGAGATTTCAGAATGGGGAGGCATTGATAAATCCTCAGGGGAGGTGATCTATGCTTTAAGACTAAAAAAAATTATAGGAAACCACTTAGTTTACATTGTGAATAGGTAGATAGGAAATAATATCCACTTTATATATCTATATCTATATCTATATAGATATAGATATATAATGTCTGGCCATTTCTGAATAAAAAGACCTCTTAAGTTTAAGGGTAATGTTAAAAATTTCATCTGCTTGTGCCACTTATTCTTTCAAGCTAGCTGTGATAGTGGTTTGATTGGATAACCCTTTCAGGTCTTCATTGTTTCTCATTTTTCTTAAAAAAAAAAAAAAACTTTAGAGTTCATCAACAAGATGAAGCAAAAGGTTTCTCCAAATAAGGTGCACAGGGAATAAAAGAAACTAATCTGGCAATTTGAGATGCAATTCAAAGGCTTTGAAGAGATGCCAAGCTGAAAATTGTTGCTCTTGCAATATTCCAGCTTTGAAGATGTCAATGACAAAGAAAGAAAGGGCTCTTAAGATCTTATGCAAAGGATTCAGCAACACTGAATTTGTTCAGATCTACATTAAGCTATTGTAGAAATGCATATCAGGCACAGGCACAATAGCAAAGCAGAACTCACTCTAAGTATGACACTGTGGTACCTCTTAATTCCCACAGCATTCAAAATACACATTCCTAGCCTGGTCTGGTGGTGCAGACCTGCAATCCCAGCACTCTGGGAGTGTGAGGCAGAAGAACTGCAAATTCAAGCCCCCCCTGAGCAACTCAGTGATTTAGCAAGAGCCTGTCTCAAAAAACAAAAATAAGATCAAAAGGGCTGGAGATGTAGCTCAGTGTGAAGACCCTGGGTCCAATCTCCAGTACCAGAAAGAAAGGGTGGGGAAAGAGTCAGAGTACAGGGAGGGAAGAAGAGAAAAATACAAAATCAAAGAGTAATACGAAATACCAGATGTTTAAAATAAATGTTTCAGAGGCCAGCCACATGTCTAAAGAAAGGTGTGATAGGACTGGAATCACAAAAAGGGAAGAGCCACTGTGATAATTCAGGCATATACTTAAGATTGAGAACTACCACCCAGGTATTTGAGGTATTCTGTATTCACTAATAAAACATCTCTACAATGAAATTGATTCATAGGCCAAAGCATAATTTTAAACATCTAGGAAATTGTACCTAGCCTAGTATATAGGCAGTCAAATTTTTACTGAATTACTAAAACTTAATTTTAAAATCTACTTTCATAGGTAACCCTCTCGGGTTAGCACTCTAGTCATTTGTTTTCTCTAAATTGTTCAATATTTGTTTCTCTAAGATCTTACCATGTCTAAACTTACTCACAATTCATATAACTGCATATCACAAATATTATAAATTCTCAGATATGTTTTACAAAGGATCTTTTCATTGTGATACAGATCAGTATTCGATCATGGTTAGAGCCACATACGAAAGCAGAGTTAGGTTCTCCCCATTATAATAAAATGTAGAAGATAAAATTATTTGCAAAACTTTATTTGATGATATGCATTTAACAAAATAAGACCTAACAATAACTGAAAACTTCTTTGCTTACTAAATCTCTTTGGATTCATTTGTAATCTCTTTTGAAAAAACAGTCTTCCACGTGGTCTGGGAAGACTAAGCCATCTGTCACATGCTGCCTCTTTTGAAAAAACAAATCTTTCAACCCAATTCTCCCTATCTCTAGTCTCATGTTTGAATATTCCCTTCCTTAAAACACTATGCCTCATATACTCAGTCTGACTAAAAATTAGCAATGTTTTAGAAGTTATTTTGGCAGGAGCCGTCAACATTTTAAATGTACATACCCTGTGAGCCAACAATCCTAAAACTAGGCCATTATTCTGTGGAAATACTGGAAAATTAATTTATGCAAGCATTATTTATTAAAGCAAAAAAGTAGTAAATATCTAAATGTCATACTGAATGGACATGTATAAATTATATACTGTGGATAGTAAAAATAGTAAGAGATATGCATATGCCAATGTTACATTAAAAGCAGATAAAAGCACAGAT